GTACAATCAATTTTGTAAGAGATTCATCCTAGCTCAGAAAATTGTTATTGAATATGTCAATGCTGTTGTAATGAAATGCTTCTTCTAACTATATGGTTATTAAATAAATAATTTTTTTAAAAAGTTAAAAAAAAGAAATGGACTCTTTGAGAAGGGATGAACAGAGAGGGCAAGGCCTTTATGGAGGCTGGACATCTGACAGAAGGACAGCTGCCTCCTCCCTCCCATGTTTCCTCCTCCCTCTTTGTGCACTCTCTCACCATTCTGCCTCTGCATGAAGGTACTAGCCAGAGGCAGGCCCCTCAACCTTGGACTTCCAAGATTCCTGAACATTAAGAAATGCATTGCTGTTAAAGCCCCCAGCCTCAGGTATTCTGTTATAGCACCGCTAAACAAATATGACAACTGACTTTGAAAACTCCTCACAATCACCCTAGCAAGGTATGTGGTTTAAAGGATGAAGCGACATGGGGGAGTTAGCACCTCAAGGCCCCCACCCAAGGGTCACCTGCTTGGTGACTGTGGGAAGTTCTGGACTGCAGGGAACAGACAAACCTAGGCTTTTCCAATTTGTTTTTTCTGTTTGATGGCAGAGGAAATAAACAGCTGTCACTTTCCACTCTGCAGCCCCCAGTGCTCTCACTCTGAGGGCTTGGAAGAGATGGTATCTCACGTACTGGTCCAGTTGTTCACATCCCTTTGGTCATACTGAAGTTCATTTAACCTCCAAAGTGATGGTGGTAGGAAACAGGGCCTTTAGGGGGGGTGACTAGTCATGAAAAGGATTAGTGATAATCCAAGAGGGGCTGAGAGCAGTCTCAGCCCTTCCACCATAGCAGGACATATCCAGAAAGTCTGTGAATCAGGAAGTGGGCCCTTACCAGGTACTCAATCTGCCCCTGCCTAGACCTCAGAAGAAAGAAAAAGAAATGTCTGTTGGGTGTAAGCTGCACTGTCCACGGTTCTGACCAGAGCAAGGCACTGAGGGAAGGGGTTGGGGTGCACAGCTGAGCCACTTCCAGGTTCCCTCTGCAAGAAGTCGGCAGCAGAGTCTGGAGCCAGCTGGCCAAAGATGGCTATCACATACCTAATGCTCAGTACATGCCAGACTTCAGTGGGGATTTCTATTCAAGTGTGTGCACATATACATACATGCATACATATGTGTATGCCAACACATACACCATTACATCCAATCCTCAAAACATCCTGC